CCGGCCCAAGCCCTGGCGCAAGCTGACGGTGAAGGGCAAGGAGCCGTTCATCAAGATGAAGCAGTTCCTCTCCGACGAGCAGAACGTGCTGGCCCTGAGGACTATCCAGGTGCGCCAGAGAGGTGAGTGGTTGGGTGGCCCTGGCCGACAGGTCCTGTCCCGCGATGCTGTGCTGTGGGATCCCCTTCCTGTTCACCCCGGCAGCACCTGAGGGTGCCCCGTGCCGCAGCGGGGATGCCCACAAAACAGGCAGGGACACGCACGGAGTCACCGGTTGCACTCTGGGATGGTCTCTGGTGGTCACTCAGCTTGCCCTAGGTGGGATGGAGCTGGCCATGGGCTGGGAGAACGGAACCCTGGCAAACGGTAGCAATTAACAACAACCTGTCGTTGTGGAAGCTGCATCCCCGGACGTGCTTTCCTCATTTATTCTGACAAGTGCCATTTAATTATTCATCAGACTGTTTCGTGGTGTATGAATCGATGTGCTTGGGAATATTTCGTTAAAATAATGAAGCCTTAATGCTGTGGGAACTCAGCATGGCGTCGGCACCGCCGTGAAATGGTAACGCCCAGCTCTGTGGACAGCGGCTCCTGGCCCCACCTCAGCGGTGCCGGCAGTGGTCACTCGGGTTCCCACGGTGGCACATGTCCATGGTCCACACATCTGCTGGTGTTTTGACCTGGTTGGCTCTGGTTTATCCCCTGGATCAGATCCAGTATTAACCACAGCCCGGAGGGCACAGTGCCAGGGATGGGGGTCACAGTCCCTGCGACTCCGCTGAGTGCCCCGTGCGCCGGAGGGGGAACGGGTGCCCTTGGATGGGGCGAGGAAGGTGGCTGGGATATGCCATGCCGGAGGCAAGAGCTGGCAGCTGGGGCAAACAGGGCTCCCCGCGCTCCAGCTGGCGCCTAATTGAGAGTGACATTTGTCTTAAAACCAGCATCCCTAAAAATAACTGAACATGAGGAGCAGCAAATACTTCCTGACATACAAGCAGAGCTTGTAAAACCAGTGCCGGTGACAAAGCTGTTATCCTGCCCCTTTGATCAGGTAGCATCACGCCGCGGATCAGGACGCCAGAGACCGGCTCCGACGACGCCATCAAAAGCATCCTGGAGCAGGCGAAGAAGGAGATCGAGTCGCAGAAGGGAGGTAGGTGCTGGGGTGTGGGTCAGTGCCCAAGTCCCGTCACTAACCCCACAGCTGGGGCACAATGAGCTTTATTTGGCATTTTTCCCACTGACATCCGCAGAGATTTGGGGGGAAACACTGGTAAATGCCATTAGGGACAGAAGACACGGAAGCGTTTGTACATGGACTTTTGGAAACTTTGGGTCTAGTCTTTCCTCTGCCCCTGCCCCGAAACAGATGATTAAATGAGAATGCACAATCCATCTGGCATGAGGAATCATTAAAGCAGCTGCTCTCGCAGTCAATTACAAGAAATGAAATACATTAAAGCAGGTAGTCTGCTGAGAAAGCAGAATCCCAGAGAATTGAATTAGACGGGAATGGTGGAAAAACAGACAGGGAAAACAAACGTGTTTGTCTATTGCCGTCATTGGTAATGAGATTTATTTTGCAATTGTCAAAAAAGAAGCTCACTTTGGACCGGGGGTGTCGCAGCATTTGCTTTGTGCGTGCTGCTGGTCGTTCTTCTGAAGTGCACCCACGCTGGGCGTCCACCTGATGGAGAGTGCTCCAAACCAGATCGGGAGAAAATCCCTTTTCTTCCACATTTTGAATTATGGCCACATGGTAAAATGTGCCATGCTGCACCTTGGGGCTCCTCTCACCCCTTTAACTTTGCAGGCGAGCCCAAAA